TCTAAAACAGTGCCCATTGGCACTGATGGTGTGTTTTGAGGTACACAATGCTTCTCTTCTAAGGGAATTTCAAGCAGACAGGCTAACATGTTTATTCTTACTGAGAACTCCTTCATTCTGATTTCTTCATTAACTGTTAATGATCAGTTAACCTTTAAGAATGTTTACATCCTTCTGACAAACCTAATTACAAAATAAAAAATAAATTTGTTGTGAATACTTTAGTGTGCTTATTTGAGATATGTGCAACAAGAGTTTAACTTTCCCCAAAGAAAGGGAAAGAACATTTTTTAGTTCACATATATACAGACCAAAAAAAAAGTACATTATCTAGTTAATTCAGACTACATAATTAGAGAGGAGAGAAATATTAACAAGGATAAATAAGCAGGGAGGAGAAAAACAGCAATGACTTGAGCTATCCAGTTCACTGCTTACAAAGATCCGATTAGCTGAATAATATTTCACTCCTAATCTGTGTAGATCCAGCTGAGGATATGTGGTGTGGCATCTTTTCCCAGGGTGCAGAGCTCCTCTGAGAAGAGGCAAAGCCAGAATTCAGGAGGTGGGGTCCAGAGCCAAGCCTTTGAAGTGATGGAGGTTTTCCCAAACCTATCCAGGTTAAAATAAATTCCATTATCATCAGCTCTTTTGAGCACACTTCTTAAATACTCTTCTCTCCCTCATCACTTTTCTTTCATGAATTTTTGAGTAGGCTGTTCAAGCCAGAGGCTACCTCACAGCATGCAGGTCTAAGACCTGTCTTTGAAGTTTTGAGGCAAGGGACTAATGAAGGGCTTTCAGAATGCCCCAAAGCATGATGGAAGGTAGCACATATAATGCACATATAATGGGAAATATGTACATCTACATAATGGTTTTTGAATAATCAATAACTTACCTGTTAGAAATCCCTTGGAAACATGGCTTCTTAAATATGACTCACAGATACTGGGTAATGTGGGAAAGTCTTCAGATAAATTTGTCTATGAGTATGAGGAAATGTTACTTCCAAACATAAAACACTGGCTGCTGTAAGGAATGTGTAGAGTATGGCTCACACACCATATCATTGGGTCCATTGGTAGGTGTTGGACTGTCTGTCGGCAAGGAGACAGGCTCTGCCTGAGAGCAGGGGCTCATCCAGGGACATGCAAAGCCGAAAGGTGGCCAGGGTGTTTGTAAATAGCATTTCTAGTATTGTGACTATCACATTACTCTGACTGGTATTAGGCAGTAGTAAGCAAACAGTGAGTTGGGTAAGGACACATTTACACTTGAGAACTTTGTTTTTATGACTTGGAAATGGAGCTAGACAGGCCCCCATTGAAGTAGGATTTGTTCCTTCTGCTCAGTGTATGATGACAGCAGCTCTAAGGATTTATGGAGCCAGCTCCAGGTAGGTCCTCCTGCTTGGAATTTAATGAGCATCCCCATCTGATACTGTGATTTGTGTGTATATTTGTGCATATGTATATGCAAATATATGTGTGTGTGTACTCTTAATGTATTTCTGTAATTGAACTTCAGCCATGTCTCACTTAATAGCTCTGGCATATTGGCAAATGATTTAATCTCTCTGAGACTGTAGTTCCCTATTTGTACTTTTTTCACTAGGATATTATGAAATATATCTGAGTGCTTTTTTTACCAGGACATTATATGAAACATTACTTTTTCACTAGGATATTATAAGCATTAAACAAAATACTTTCTGTCTAGTTTGTATCTGAATGTTTGACAGATAGTATGTACTCAAAGTTTTAGCTCTCTTTACATTGTTAAAATAGTCCAGAACAATAACCTTTTCCCCAGATAATATGCACATTTATATGGGCCTATGCTCACACATCCAATATAGTCATGTTTCCATATAATTTCACTCTAGCTGTTCGTTCTAAAAACACTTACGTCTTCTGTGGAGCAAATAAAGCATATCATTCAAGAAGTGTGTCTAGAACTAGTTTAATCATAGTTAACAAGAAAGGATAAAGTAGGTTAAACAGAAAAGCCATAATCCATGTAAATTACATGGGAATTTACTACTTTTTAAATTTGGGGGAGTATTTTACTTGTATGTTTCTATATGTGTACTTCTGTATAAAATTCAACTGAACATTTTCAATATTACTATATGTAATCAATATTATTTTGATTTACCCGTAAATCTACCATTTTCATTGCTCTTCACCTAGATTCGTTTTTCTTCTACCTAAATGGTACTCTTTAGTATTGTCTTTAGTGCAGATCTGTTGGTGGTAAATTCTATTAATAACTTTTGAAAAATATCTTTGTTTTGCCATCATTCTTGAAGGACCTTTTTGCTCAGTATAGAATTCTTGTTGGCATTTCTTTTTCTTTGGTACTTTAAAGATATCCCATCAGCTTCTAGCTTCCATTATTTTTATTAAGACATCACCTTTGAGTTTAATTGCTGCTTATTTAGAGGTAAAGTATATTTTGTTCAAGAGACTTTTAGGGTTTTTTTTCCAGTCTTTGACTTCTAACAGTTAAACTATGACCTGCCGAGGTAAAAATTTCTATTTTCCCTGCTTAGTCCCTCCTGAATCTGTGGCTTACTGTCTCATCAGTTTCAGAAAATTCTTAGCCATTATCACCTTAAGTATTACCTCTGCCCTGTGATCTCTCTCTCCTTGTAGGACTCAACTTACGTGTCTGTTAAAGTTTCTCAATGTGTCTCATGTCTCTTACCCTTTCCTCTGTATTAGCCATCTCTTTGTCTATCTTTCATTTTGTATGGTTTCTTCTAAAGCCCTAATTAAAGAATCCAGTTCATTAATTCTCTCTTCAACTATGTTTATTCTGCTGGAAAATCCATGTGTTCTTGATTTTAGTGGATGTGGTGTTTTTTTTTCATTCTAGAATTTCCATGTACCCTTTAGAAATAGATTCCAGTTCTCTACCAAAATCCTGCAGCTTGTCTTTAATCTCCTTAAATATATAAACATAGTCATTCTAAAGTCTATATCTGATGACTGTATCTCAGAAGCCCCTGTGGGTCATCCTCATCCAAGACAAGAGTTCCTGACTCACTTCTTCTAAGTGGTCTATGCCTTTCCTGTGCTCTCTAAAAACTTAACACTGTGCAAGGTGATTCATGTCGTTTGGTCTGCTCATGGACCTCTCCCACCTTGTATAATTGAGTTACTTTTAATTGAAAAATTCTGGAGATAATTCAAGACCTTAATACAATTTCAGGGACTAAAGTAATTAAAATCTGAGCTTCAGGCCTTGAGAGGGCCTATCTGCTTCCAGATCACCTTATTTCTAATGTACAGTGCTTTGGGGTCATAGACCAAAAGAATGGGGTTCACTAGAAAGCATCCTCCCTGGTGTACCCTGAACCCCATTCCATGCCCCCCACCCACCATGTTCTTGAGATCACCAAAAACCCCCTAGGCTTCACAATTGCTCAACTTTGGAATGTGGGAATACCATGGGGCGAAAGGACAGGGTCAAATCTCTGGGCCGTCATCCTTTCCTGAACCTGATGATTATCTTATTTTTTGTCTAGTGCCATAAGAAGTGTTTTTTTTTTTTAATTTTGTCCAGTGTGTGTGTGTGTGTGTGTTGTTCAGAGGATTTAGTTCTCCTCAGAAAAAGGGTTGATCAAAATTACCTAGTCTACTACTTCTAGAAAAGCTACTGAAAATTGAATTTTTAAAACTACTTTATAGTTTTCTTCTCCTTTTTATAGAGTGTGAAGTTGAAGAAATTAAATTTCTGTGGAAATTAAACTGTTAAAACCTCAAGGGCATTTCAACCTAATCTGAAGGCAGTAGTAAGACTTTGGACAGTTCGCAGATTCCTGCTCACACTGTCTCCTGGCCTTTGCTCACATATCCCCTCCTCCAGAAATGTCTGGCAACCACACCTCTATTCCACCCCCATTATTTTTAAAACCCAACACTGTATCCTCATCCAAGACGACTTCTTACTCAGTTCTTCTTCAAACTGGTCTATGCCTTAACTCCGCCTTTCTACAACTTAATATTATGCACGGTATTAGAACGCCACCTTATAACCCCACTTGCCACATTGATTGGCAGTTACAGTTCCTGTGCCTCTCAGCCACTTGATTGTGAAGTCCTTTGGGACCAGGACTGGCTTTTCCAATTTGCTTCCCCAGCACAGCACATGGCACTTAGTGGCATGGAGAAAACAGCCGCTATTGAAAGGATACTGACTTCCCCCACTTTCAGTGTTTGTTCTTCAAACAAATGCAGAGACGGATTTGAGTATTTGGGGCTTGACCTTGCAGATGGGACAAGTACTTTGGCTCTGTCTATCCATTTTACTTCTCCCCAGCAATGTCCTCCCTTCAAACCTCTCCAAATCCTGCCCATTCTTCAGGGTCCTGGGAAAACCCTCCTTGCTTACTCCAATGAGGACTGGCAGTCGTCCAGTGAGGACTCTCAATTTACCCAATAAATATTTATTAAGCTTCAGCTATGTGCTGGTACCCTTTTAGCGGCCAGGGGCATAGTGATAAACACATTAAGTGCCTGCCTTGTGGAGCTTATGTACAGTCCAACTCTCATCCATATTTAGCTATGTAATTCATAGCATTTGTCCAGTGAGATAAACAAGTACAAGACTGTATCTGGACCTTGAGTCTCCTGCAGAGCCTAACTCAGTGCTGAACACTGATTAGCTATCCCATCATCCGTGGGGGCCCATTGACTTATTTTAACAGAGACCAGCTATAGAGCTGATACTTCTGTAAAATGTCTTGAGTACTGAATGGACTTTTACTGGCTTCTTGCCAACTTCCATATATGGTAAGTACAGGTAACAAAAGAAAATTAACAGGCTCATTTGTCTGTGTTGGTAGAGGAACTAAGTCTTATTTTCTTCCATTTAGCTTATATACGGATGTAAGGGGTTTGTAGGTGTGTGTGTGTGTGTGTGTAAAATAAGAAAATATCTTTATTTGTTTCCTTCCTTTTTCCCCTCTCTGTCTCCCACCACTCCCACAGGTCAGCGTGGAAGTTTTGGTAGAGTACCCTTTTTTTGTGTTTGGACAGGGCTGGTCATCCTGCTGTCCAGAGAGGACCAGCCAGCTCTTCGATTTGCCGTGTTCCAAACTCTCCGTCGGGGATGTCTGCATCTCACTTACCCTCAAGAACCTGAAGAATGGCTCTGTTAAAAAGGGCCAGCCCATGGACCCTGCCAGCGTCCTGCTGAAGCACTCAAAGGCCGACAGCCTGGCGGGCAGCAGACACAGGTACGCTGAGCAGGAAAACGGAATCAATCAGGGAAGTGCCCAGATGCTCTCTGAGAATGGTGAACTGAAGTTTCCAGAAAAGATAGGATTGCCTGCAGCACCCTTGCTCACCAAAATAGAAACCACCAAGCCCACAGCAGCAAGGAAGAGGAGGTGGTCTGCGCCGGAGACCCGCAGGCTGGAGAAGTCGGAAGACGAACCACCTTTGACTCTTCCTAAGCCTTCTCTAATTCCTCAGGAGGTTAAGATTTGCATTGAAGGCCGGTCTAACGTAGGCAAGTAGAGGGCAGTACGGGAACAGGAAATTTGGCTCTCCCTTATCATTTGTATCCAGATTACTGTACTGTAGGCTAAATAACACAGTATTTACATGTTATCCTCTTTCTTTAGGTTTCTGTTATAACCTTGTCATTAGAGTTACAGCTGGTGTTGCGTAGGAGACTGGTGCATATGCTTTCCCATGAGTGTTTGTCATGAGCAGGCAGGTGGGGGGCCAGGCTGGGCCCCGGGCATCCTGGGGAATAGAATGTGGCTTCCCAGCACCTGCCTTTGCTAGCAGCATGGAGCATCCCTGGGCACTGACGTCTGCTGCCTGAAGGACTCCTGCGGGAGGGGCTGGTGCGAGTGGGGTCACACAGGCGCCCTGAGAGTGAGGGTCTCTTTCTCTCTGCCTCCCTCTGTCTCACTCTCTCTTGCTCTCAGCATGGGATCGGAGGTCCAGAGTAAGGTCTTCGTGAGGTTCTCACGTGCAGAGTAGACATCAGGACCCCAGCTTCAGGGCATCCTGGAGAGGCATCAGACAGCAGATGCAGAACCAACCCTTTTTCCCTCCAACCTATTTTACAATGCAGAACGTTTTTTCCCTCCAACCTATTTTACAATAAAAGCAACTTTTAACCATATAGATATATATTTCCCCCTATGGGGCCTGACTGCACTGATGTTTTTTTAAAGAGCAACTGCCACCCGGGGATTTCCTTTCTGCTTCACTAGTGCAGTGATGTGTGCAGGGTGGCACGGTGGCAGGGCAGCTTCTGCTTGCATCGTTCCACGTGGGGGTGGGCAGCAGGGGCAGGGAGAGCAGACACCTGCCCTGGTTTCTGTGCAGTGTTAGGAAAACCGATCAGGTCGTTGCATTGACCTCCTCCCAAGCAGCAGGCACCAGCCGCCCTACAGAGAGCAGGGCAGGAGCTCCTCACATTGGGTTTGCAAATTTTTTTGTCTTTTAACTCTAGTACTGTTTATAGTTCATGACTATGGACAACTCGGGTGCCACTTTTTCCAGATTCCAGTGTGACGTGAGGAATAAGATTTTGAAGATGAGCATATATATTACTATTTCTAAGCACTTAAATGCTGTTCACACTTTATTACCAAGCATCTTGGTCTATCATTCAACAAGTACTGTATCTCTCTTTAAACTCTTTGGGAAGAAAAACAAAAAACTAAGTTGCTTTTTTTTTTTTTTCCAACACTGTAACTACATTTCAGCTCTGCAGAGTTTCTCACGAGCAAGATAATTGAAAGTCTCAATGTGGTTTAATGAGATGAATGTGAATTATGAACTAGTACGTGATAATGAAAGACCACCAAGTACAGCCTGACAGGAGGCCCTTTTCACTTTGATGTTTGAGAAAGAATCAAAGGCATATGCAGAGCTGGGAGAGAAACTGAGAGAAAAGGGATGGAAAAAAGAATACTCAATTTTGTCCAGTGTTTTTCTTTTTAAGATGAACTTTTAAAGAACCTTGCAATTTGCACATCTTGAGTTTATAATTTGTGTGATATTCCTGCAGTTTTTATCCAATAACATTGTGGGAAAGGTTTGGGGGACTGAACGAGCGTAAATAAATGTAGCAAAATTATTTTCTAACCTGCCTAAACTCAAGGCCATTTTTTAAGGTTATGTTCCTTTCAGATTTCATTTTGGTCTTTCTACCACATCTGTCACAAAAACCAGGTGTTAGCAGGACAACTCTGAAAATTTTCTTTAGATTCATTGAGAGAGTTTCCCATAAAGACATTTATATATGTAAGCAAGTTTTTAAAAAAAATTACTTTACTGTTGTTGTTAATGTTATTTTCAGAATGACTTTTTCTTGCCATCTGAAATCAAATCAAGATGTAATGTTTGGTACAAACCCAGAAAGTGTATTTCATGGTTTAAACCTTTTATCCCCAGAGATCTGAAATACTGTTTGTGGGTTTTGAGAGTGTGTCTTAAAGTGCTTTAAAAATAAAAAGTTTTATAAGTAGGGAGAATTTTTAAAATATTCTTACTTGGAATGGCTGCAACTAATCTGAACAAAATATCTTGTTTTTCTTTTACCATTGAAAATAGTATTTCTTCCATTTCACAAATTTAAAAAAATTCTAATGTCAACTCACATTTTGGCCTCCTAGTATTCCTCACATTTCGGTCTCATCAGGACTAATGATGTTGATAAACCATTTTCTGGGGTGTACCAAAAACATTTGAACAGGTTTAGAATAGCTAGAACTGGTCCTTGACTTTCCTCCAATTTCATTACCCTCTTGGCCTGTTAGCAATTAGCTGCGTGAGCCCATTTTTCCAATCACACTGCTTATTTTCTGCTGTGTTTTTTTAAACGTTTCTGCTTGGAGAACTTGCTTAATCTTCCATATATTCTGCTCAGGGCACTTGCAGTGATTAGGTTTTGTTTTTTATTTTTGTTCTGTAACCTTTGATGGTAAGGAATATGGGGCTGCCATGTGGACTGTCCTCATTAGTACCACTATTTAACAGCAACTCATGTGGACTCAGAAAAATACACCATCTTTTGGCTTCCTTCAAGTATTGAACCCACTGGATCCACCACACCAACACTAAAATGGGAAGGCACGTGGTTTGGAGCAATAGGAACATCATCAGAATTTTTCTGCTTCTGTTTCAGGTACAGGAATTGTAAGATAACTGGTTCTTTCTAAACATTGTCCCATTTCCTTCTCTTGCATTTTTAGCATGTGCACTACTGTCTGGGCCAACAAGTCTGACCAGTGTGCTCTAAAGAGCATATCCTTTAGGCCTTTGCCTTGTTTGGCCCGTCTTCCCTGTACTAGCCAGAAAATGGCTGGAGGGGAGGCACTAGGAAGGGGAGAGCTTCCCACCATGAGCTCCAGGCCCTGCTGTGGACACTGAGTGCTGAGGGAGCTTTCAGGAGCACAGGTGTCTGTCACCAGGTTGCAGAAGGAACAAGGAGTCTGGGAAAGAGCTGTAGTTCCTGTCACCATGAGAATGTGAAGTCTGGAGAGGAATGAGGCAGGTTCGAGGCTGGGGCGCACCCTGGAGCTATATAGCCAGGATCAACCCATTGCCACGATCTTTGCCAAGAGTGTGCAGGCCCCTCCTCAGGTCTGTGTGCTTGAGACTTTGAGCTGTGCCTCTGAGGACGAGCCTGAAGTGTGGCCTGGTGTGTGCATGCACTCCAAGCATGCCAGCCAGTGGCTGTGGAAGGGGCCACCCGGTGGTCACTGCTCTTTAGGGGCAGCCTTCTCTCTAAATAGGAAGAACATCCAAAGGTCAGGGAACCTCCTCTCATTTCAGACACTGGCGAGCCCTGAGGCTCACAGAGAGCCTTCATCACCACTCCTGCACAGCATGCATGACAATGACTGGCATAGAAATTCTTTGGTGCCGCACAGCTTATGAGGATCAGCCATGTGCCTCTGTACTACGTCAACTCTGCAATATTTACTGACAGCCATCTTTAGTTCTTTCTTGTCTGTTTTCTATTTTCAAACTAGTAACCGCAGGCCTTTTTTGTTTATAGTGGAACACAATAGCCAAGAAATCAGTCAGGGCGAAGAGAGAAAAATAATAAAACCAACAAACAAGAACCTCTATTTATAGGGATTTCTAAATATACAAAATAACTGTTCCTTAGAATGTTTAACTTAAGAATTATGTCAGTTTGGGCCACATTGCTGGGGGGCACAGCGTGGGATACACAGACGGATGCCACTTACCTCAGATCTTCTAAGTGGAAATCCAAGTTGCATTTTCATTAGGACTTTCAGGATAATTTTCTATGTCAGTCAACTTTTTGTTTTCTCCAGCTCACCCGGTTTGGTTTCAGATGATTTGATCTTTTTTTTGTTGCTGTTGTTGATCCCATTTCTGACTCTGAATCATGACCCTCTATGTTTTCTGTTGGGTGAGTGAATTGGGGGTCTTCTCCCCCACTGGGAAACGGCAGCATTCCCTTCTCCCCTACAAGGAACTCTGCGGAACCTTTCACACCTCTTACTCAGGGACGGGGCTGGCGTGTGTGTGGCACACTGATGTGTCCAGAAGCAGTGCACTTTGACTGCTCTGGAGTAGGGTTGTACAACTTCAAGGAATGTTTGGATTTCCTGCATCTTGTGGATTACTCCTTAGATACTGCATAGATCGCAATATGATGCTGCACGTTCGAGATGAACGGTAGCTCCTAGTCATCATAAAATCCACTCTTTGCACACAGTTTGATCTTTACTGAAATACGTTGCCAAAATTTATTTTTGTTGTAGCTTTGGAACTTTGTTCGTTTTTTTAAGGAGACAATTGACAATACCCTTTAACATCTGTGACTACTAAAGAAACCTATTTCTTTCATAGAAAAAAATCTCAAAATGCTTTTGAAGACACTAATGCCATGCTATTTCAGATATGGGTGAAGAAGCAGAGCTCTGGGGACCAAAGGCCAGGCTTTTTGAGCTGTGCTGGTTGTCATGGCTACCGTCTCATGAACCAAAAGCAGCTCCGCAGACTGGTCTGTTCTCCCCTAAATAACCCTTTGCACTTCCTATTTCCCAGTCACTCACAACGATGCCAGGTGAAAAAGGGCCGGCAGTCTCCATGGCCCAATCCAGTTTCTTCGGCAGTGATGTGAAAGGAAAGGGAAGTATGCTTTTTATTTTTTAAAGTGGCACGGAGGTCTTTGCTTTTGCCTTTGTGTTTTTAACCCAGAATTTCTGAAATAGAGAATTTAAGAACACATCAAGTAATAAAATATACAGAGAATATACTTTTTTATAAAGCACATGCATATGCTGTTGTGTTGGTTGGTTCCCTCTTTTTTCCACGGACAGTGTTGTGTTTCTGTTGATAGGGAAACTCCAAACAATTTGCACACCTCTACTCCGGAGCTGAGATTTCTTTTACATAGATGACCTCGCTTCAAATATGTTACCTTACTGATAGGATCTTTTCTTGTAGCACTATACCTTGTGGGAATTTTCCTTTTTTAAAAAAAAATGTACACCTAATTTGAGATGCTGAAGAAAAAATCATTTGAAGCACTCACTTTGAGGAGTACAGGTAATGTTTTAAAAAATTGCACAAAAGAAAAATGAATGTCGAAATGATTTATTCAGTGTTTGAAAGATACAGATCTGTTGAAACCATGAGTTTCATACCTTGTTTGTAAAAAAAAAAACAAAAAAAAGCATAAAGGTTGAAAGTTACATGTTTTTTTGTATATAGAAATTTTGTCATGTCTAAATAATCAGATTTGTACGGTTATGGCCTGGAAGAATTACTACGTAAAAGGCTCTTAAACTATACCTATGCTTCCTTTATGTTTTTGTTACATGGAGCCCCCCTCTGAGGGAGGGCAACTCTGTATTCTGAAATTTGAGAATACTCTTCATTCCTATGCCGGAAATACTTCTCTGAGCTCCCTTCTTAGTTTAAACTCTTAAGCCATTGCAACTTCTTTTTTTTTTCAGAGATGTTTGACATTTTCAGCACTTGCTGTTCCAATAAACCCAAAGAATATAATCCTTAACAAGAAGTGTTTGTAATATGGGACCCTAGCTATCAATAAAATAGGACTCATTACGGGGACAAAAAAAAAAAAAACTTAGCCTTCTTTCCCCACCCACCTCATTTAATTGGGGGTGGAGGGGTAAAACATGAATTTCCATGTAAATTCCTCATTTTACTTTAGTTTCAACTTTTTCTTTAATATTAAGAGGCCAAAATAAATGTGGAGCAACTCCTCAGAAGAGTCACACCCTGTCCAAAAATCAAGCCAGCTAGCAAAAACTGGACAGCTGTGGAGAAACTGCGCAATCCCACCTACAATTCTTAAATTCAGAATCTCAGCCCCTCCCTTACCATTAAATGCAATGTTTCTGGGAGCTGGCATTCACCTGTACAATGATGGGAGGGAACAGCGGCTTTGGTTTTTCATGTCCTTGTGACTCACATACAAATGGTTCAGCTGTATTAAAATGAAGTGCATTTGGCCAATAGGTAGTATCCATTCAGTGACAGTCTCTAAGAATTTCCACAGTTTTTCTTATCTGAAAGGACTCAAGTCTTCCACTGCAAATAATTGGAGACTTCGCCCATTTTCTTTCCCCTTTAGTTTGTTCATTTGCTGTCTGGATGGCTAGTGAGCCTATCTCCTTTTCCATGGCCAGTCTGAAGGCCACCCTTGGAAGCGCTGTTTACAGAAACCCTAGCCGGGATAAGGGACCGTCCTCCATATTATCAAGTCTGATGTGATCCCAGCTTAGAGCTGTGGTCTTTGAAGGCAGTCACCAAGAAGCTAGGTACACAGATGTCCTCTGGTTCTTACATGAACCACCTCCTCGTACCATCTGGTCCAGGAGTTGGGCAAATTCTTCATAGTCAGTGAACATTAAACTTGATAACCATGCATTCAGTTCTGTGACTATTGCCCTTTCAGCCTTTGGGGAGGTTTCTTCCTCCTCAGCCTTCACTGCTCACCTATAAATGCAAATTACTGTCAACTGCAAGGAGGTTTCAGGAGAGCCCTGCCAGTATTTGTGGTGACCTTCACTTAAGACAGAGTCCTGATTTTCAGCCAGTGGGGTCCCGGCCCCAGAGCCATCGCTGAGATGTGCACCTTTGTATGTTTTACTATCAGACCGTTACCCAGAAAACTTCTGATCATATGCCTCCCACTGGCCAAGGGGAAAGAAACACCAGAACTTTGAGGGCGCTATCAGACTGATGTGGCCAGTACAGAGAACTAGGGAAGGAATGTTTCGCACCTTATTGAAAAGAAAATTTTAAGTGCATACATAGTTAAGAGCTTTTATTGTGACAGGAGAACATTTTCCATATGCGTGCATACTCTCTGTAATTCCAGTGTAAAATACTGTACTTGCACTAGCTTTTCTAAAACAAATATTAAAAAAAATGGAAGAATTCATATTCTATTTTCTAATCGTGGTGTGTCTATTTGTAGGATACACTCGAGTCTGTTTATTGAATTTTATGGTCCCTTTCTTTGATGGTGCTTGCAGGTTTTCTAGGTAGAAATTATTTCATTATTATAATAAAACAATGTTTGATTCAAAATTTGAACAAAATTGTTTTAAATAAATTGTCTGTATACCAGTACAAGTTTATTGTTTCAGTATACTCGTACTAATAAAATAACAGTGCCAATTGCAAATATGTGTCCTAGCCTTGTGTCTGATCCTTGAAGATGAGGCTGAGCAAGTAAGTGGCGGCAGTTCCTACTCCGTCCGTCCCCCCACTGTGGTGGCCAGGTGATTTTGTGATGGAGTGACAGAAGACATTGCCTTTCTTACTAATTTTTTTTTTTGACTGTGAGAGGTGTGGGCTTGGTCGTGGTTGAGGTGAGGATTTAGAATAAAAGGCACGTTGGAGCAGCTGATGGTTTGACTTGTTCAGTTCATGTTTATTTCTATCTGAAGGCTCATGCTTCCAAGAGATACTTGTTTCTAAACAGCACTTGGCAGCTTCATGGCCTGTGTGGCATTATCTGATGTATTCTGTACTGTTTGGCTGTGAATTGATCGGTGGTCTGTAGGTGGGAGGTTCATTCATGCCTCCTGTAGTTTCACGCCTGTTGGGAACTCAGCAAGCAGGGGGAGTCCTGGCATGTGGAGGAGCCTGTTTCAATAGTATGGCACCACAGGTTTGCACCATGCCTCCTGGCAAGTTAGGTCGGCTTAGCAGTGGCCCCGTAGGCCCCGGAAGGTAGTTCCTCAGGGGCCCCTGCAGGTGACCCCTCCACCCCCATCTGCGTTCTTGGCTCTCAAATCCTTCTGCCTCAAGGCTCTGCAGAGGGGGAAGAGAGCTCTCCATCTCAGTCTTCACTAGGCCCAGGGGAAGAAGGGGCAACTCCTTTCCTTTCACTGTCTTTCTTGATTTAGTGGGGACCCTTCACCAGGACTTGACTCTCCGGACCTAAGAGTTGAGGTCTGACACATCGTGGATGTCCATGTGTGAAAGAGGGTGGGTAAACCAGTATTGATTAGATGAGCCTTGGACAGACAGGAAGGGCTGCCCCTCCTCCATGCATACTGGTAGGCTGAGGGCAAGCTGGGGGGAAGCAGGCATGATCACCACTCCTGAGCATTAATGGCTCGCCGAGATTGGGGTCTGGTGGCTGTGAGACTTTGCTCAACAATTCGGACTGATTAGGGCAAAACCTTTGCTTCATGAGCTGCAGTGGGCCCAGCCTGAAACCAGACAGTGGGAGCGGCCGGTGGTGTTGCCAAGGGTGTCTCCTTGGCTAGTTCAGACCCCCACCCACCCCCACACAGGACGCCTGCAGGTGGGCGGAGGGCTGGACCTCCATCTCCGTGTCCTGCTAATGCCTGGTCTGAGGGCCACAACCGGGCTTGCCCAGGCCCACTCCACTGGAGGCAGACACGAGCTTGCCAGGGCAATGGGTCATGGGGCCTTGGAAGTGCTTTTTGTGAAACCTCTGCTTGGAAATGATCCTGACAAATCTTTGGCTTTCGCAGTAACTGAGTTTTCACTTCCCTAAAAGCTGGGTGAGAAAGGGCCTTTAGCCGGTGAAAACAAAAAGCAGACAACCTGGAAAATTTTTACACTCAAGCAGGCACGTACCACTGCAGGGGAGCCCCCAGAGGGGTGGCACAGCGGGCTGATGGGTGTCCCTCACCCTGACCACTCCAGGTGTAGAACAGGAGCCTGGTGTGAGAAAGGGGACATGGTAACCCCAAGCTAAAACAAGAGTGTGGAGAAGGATACTGTCCTCAAGTTCCCTTCCTGCTGCTGGCACAAGGCATTAGGATTTCCTTAAGATACCCATTTCCTTTGCTTCTCTCCCTTATTTTGCAAGAATCCCTTAAAACTAGCAAACTTCAGGGCCTGAGTATAAACCACATCTTCCACAGGAACAGTGTGGGGCTTAAATCTCAGGTAGGCACTCAGAAAAGGTGGGTGCCGCCAGCACAGCCCTGCCACTTGCGCTACGTTACGTCCACTAGACCCTCTCTCCCCAGTGGAGCCATTTGTATTTCTGCAAAAATTAATGGGTTTGGTGGGGGAAATTATTACAATGGAGTTAAATTGCTGAATCTTTAAATGTATTCTTGCAAGACTGCAGGCAGGCCTGTCATTCCCTGGAGTATGACGGTTTGTTGGGATTCTTCATATGGGTCAGTCCCCATGGACATCCAACAATTATGCAGCAGGACCTCCAGCCCTTCTCTGCCTGCAGGGCGTCACTTGCCTTGTCAAAGAAAATTTACTCCTACGTCTGCTTCTTGAGCTTTGTTTAGAAGGAAATACAGTAAAACATGCTGGTCTGCATACACTTTCCAGTTCTATTATCAAGGAATGCTTTAAAAGAAGAGGCCAGCCATGAGCAATCCATCTGTGTTCATGGTTTGCAAGTGTGGTAACGCTTCCTGCCAAGGCTTGTAGGTCCTTCTCCAAGAAAACACCTCTGCTTCCAGGATAGCATCGACCATCACACAGTGGGACCCTGAGTTCCCCTGAAAGTATCAATCGCTATGGGCAAGGGAATGGTCCTGACTTATTTTTCAAACCAATGCTTCTTAGGGAACCACTGGAGGAGGTTCCTGCTGGTTTTCAGTGGACTACCTTTCAATGAAACAGCCTGTGGAATTTCAAAATAAGGTGATCTCTTTGAGAGAGGCCAGCCTAAGCTGGGACTGAGAAGGGAAAGAGATGGAGGAAAACAAAGGTAAGTGAAAACCCAGGACAAGGGCAGGGACAGCTGCCTGGGAGTGACAATTTGGGAGCCAGACATGACCTGTTCCCAAAAAGCATGCGTGACAGAGGCAGTGAAACCAGTCCTTCAGTTCATGCATTCACTCCATTGCCCTTGTTCCTTCCCAGCAGCAAACGCTGGAAGGAAGGGAAGCCAGTTCAAGACTGTGGCCTGGCCTTCCTCACCCTCCCTTCCCGAGGCGCCTTGACAGCCAAGAGCTAAGAATGGGAAGGAGGCAGAAAATCCCCAACTGCCCCTGAAACTTGGTTCCTACAAATGCAAACTCCAGCACTCAAGAAAATGTTAAGATATTAGCATTATATTAAAGTGAAACTATGTTCTTTTTAAAAAAGAAGGTGGGAGTGTTAGTTTTAACAATGAAGTTATGCGTCATGGGCAGCTGGGCTCTGACCACTGACCCCCTCACTGCCCTGCTTCCAGGCCCCCAGAAGGCACTAGGGGGCCCCAAAGCCTCCGAGTGGCAGGAGGGGGAAGGAGGAGCAGTCCACCCTCCAGGAGCAGCCGGAAACACTGACATAATGGGGAGACGGGCAAGCGGGTAAGTGGGGGAGCATCCGGGTGCGGCACGTCACCTCATCCTCAAGGTCAGCTGAACACTGTGTTATACTGCTGGGTCACCCTGATGAACGTCGCCCTCTTGCTCAGCTCTTTGAGTTTGGCGGCCCCCACATAGGTGCAGGTGGACCTCAGTCCCCCAAGAATATCCAGGATAGTATTTTCCACGTCTCCTTTGTAAGGCACTTTCACAGTCTTGCCCTCAGAGGCTCTGGAAGAAAAAGGAAGCTTTTCATTTAATCTGCTGTTGCTCCTTAAGAACCCAGCCAGAGTAACTCCCAGCTTTCTCACCTTAAGTAGCCCTAAGATACTCAGGCAGCCAAACACCGCCCACTGCCCCTGCTCCCACATTGCTACAAAGGCCAGCTGATCATGCTGGCACCCCATGTGAGCACATTCCTCCCTCCAAAAGGCCCGGCCCACTGCTGGCTCCCCAGGGCGCCAGGAAGGGAGGCTGCATCAGCAACACCAGAGGACGTCCCAGACCCACACTGCCCAGCAGAGCTGTTCTCTGTGGCATGCCTCCACCCCGGCCCAGACAGAGACCAGCGCCCCCTTCCTATCTGGCCTGCAGCCTGACACGGTGTCCAACCAGCCCGGAGCCCACGAGGCCTAAGGGAAAGGACAGACCTGGCTGATCACCCCCTCAGCCCTGTGGCCACCTCTTCCATAGGCCTCCCTGACCAACAACAGGGCCTCCCCTGCCGCGTCAGCTCTCCGGCCAGACACCAAGCGTCCTCCAGGGGACAACCAAGAAGACATATTGATACAGTCGGTCCCCAACTCATGGGGGTTCACCTTACAATTTTTTGACTTTATGATGCTGTGAAAGTGATACACACTCAGTAGAAACCACACTTTGATTTTTGAGTTTTGATCTCTCCCTGGGTGAAACTGGGCTGGGGAGCGAGCCCAGCTCCCAGGCAGCCCTGCGGTCACGAAGGGACAGCCAGTCCACTCACAGCCATTCTGCCTTTCACTTCCAGCACAGTCGCCAGTAGGTGACACAATAACCAACACTTCCTTATACAATAGGCTCTGTGTCAGCTGGTCCTGCTCAGCTCTAGGCTAACATCAGCATGCTGAGCAGGCGGAGGTGGGCCAGGCTGAGCTCCCACGTCGGCACATTAGGAGGATTCTGTGCATCTTTGATGTACAGTATTTTCAGCTTACCGTGGCTTTGCGGGAAGCCAAGGAAGACCTGTAAAATGGGAGAACTCAAGCCCTACTAGGTTATGTGGACGCCTCCACCAACAAGACCCAGTGGCTCTACCTCAGGGCCTGCCTGTCCCTCTCAGGGCCCTTTGTGAGGTGCATCCCCCAGGGCACCTCCCTGCGTTTGCACAAGTTTCTACATCTGTTGTCCTGCATGGTGTCAGGGACCAGTAAGGTGACACCGGAGCAGAACTAAGGACTTCTAGGCACCAGAGGCTTCGAGGTTCGGATTAGCATCTTTCATGCTTTCAGGGGAACATCTGAAATGCAGAAAGTCTGGTGTATGGCTTGGACACTAAGCAATATCCAGTGGCCCTTGACTAATCCCTTGTTTCACTCCTTCTAAGGCCACCAAATAATGTTCCTACTGAAAAATGAAGATACAGTCCAGACTCGCATTTAGAGGGCCTGACAAGAAGGAAATTTCCAATCTACACAAAACTCAGGCTCTCATCTAAAGGCCAGGTGATCTGGAAATCCTAACAACCAAATTCTAGAACTTTTTCTAGCTGGTCTCTTCACCTGGAAAAATAATTAAGCATCTCTTGATCAGAAACTCATTACCTAGAATTTCAAAAGGGTATTAACTCTTGTGCATTGAACTCTACAAATGTAAGACTCCCCTTGGGTGAAACCCAGCTGCTTAAACCACTGACTAGACCAAGGGCTGGTGGTGGCTGGCTTAGAGCACCAAGTTCATGAAACCAGTCGCTGGCCATGCTCAGAATAATTCAGGCCCCTGCACTCTGTGTTGGGAGACCAAAGTCTGTGCACATGTGCCTGCAATTATCACCATTTTGATTTTTAAAGAGATTTCCATGGCCTTCCCGGGACTTATTGAAAACCCTCTCATTGCCGCCTTGCTAACTGGAGATGGCAGCTTTTGCAAGTCATTTATTGTTGATGTTCATGTCTTCTCACCTGTAAAACAAAGATAGTTTGATCTGTCTCCCAGGGATGGCATGAGAACTAAATAGTTAATGACTGGGAAGGAATTAGCAAAGTATAAATAGCTTTGCCTTTAATTAACTGTAATGTCAAAGTAGGAGAAGCATTCTCACAATGATGAGGCTGCAAACTGCCAGGGAAAGAGAAGGAGGGAGTCAGAGAGACAGACAGACTGGCAGATAGACAACCAAAAAGAGACAAGAGGCAAAGAGAGAAAACATATGCAGGGCTCAGAGGGCCTCTGGAGTAAGGTTCTAATTCCTTCAGCACTTTACCTCCTTGTGTAAGATTTGAATCCGCACCCAGAACTGAGTCTTGACACTCCTGAATCTTCTTACTGTTTTGTCTACACACAGCTGAAGTTACAGCAGATGGTTTTGTTTTTGGCTCCTTGGCTTCTGGTTGTGCTCTAACCTGTTTTAGTTTTCCCTATCTACTTTTGTTAGAACCCAAACGAGATGCAACAGTGAGAGGGCCAAACCTTACTCCAGGGAAAGCATCTAGTTGTTACTGACACACAATGGCTGCACTTGCATGCCAGCACAGGGCAGATGCTGCAGGGCCCTGGGATGGTGACCTTGGTTGCTGGGAAGGCATTCAGCTTCTTAGCCAGAGGTCCAGGTTGCCCTTGAGACAGTGATCCCACCCTCTCCCCCTGATAACCTGTGCAGCCTCCTCCAGAAAGAGGGCCTTCTGAGGCTGCCATGTGGAGGGGAGTACCCTCTGGTTCCATCCATCTGAAGTCTCCAGGATGAAGGCATAAATGCAGTCCCCTATCCCTCTTCCCAACCCTGCCTTCCCCATACCATATCATCTTCTCTGGGGTTCACAGCAAAAAGAGAAAAAGACTGGAAAGAATGGGAACTGAAAGCAGCCCACCAGGACCCCACTAAAGGAAAGAGCTTGGGTAGAGTGCCCCACACCTGCTTCACGCCTGCCTGCACTTTACCTTTAGCTTGGTTTGAGCTTTATATACTGCACTGGCATCCTGGGTCCTCAAAGTAAGCTTTTAGATGCGGAACTTTGGTAGGAAATGGAGGGTGTCAGCCAAGGAGGGCTACAGGTTCTGTTCCAGTGGAAATGAGGCTTCCTGGAGAAGGGCTATGAGCCCACTCACAGCTGACTGCCTTCTGAGGCTGCTAGACCTTCTGTCCCATCCACTCTCTGCAGCTTGTCATCTGCACTAATGCTAACAAGAAGCAACACTGGATTCTCCACAGAAAAGCAAGGCGGTGGGAATACATTCTCTCACCAGGTTCTTAAAAATACCCATGCAGACAGTTAAAATGGAAGTGAAACAGAAAAGGCCAGGTTATCTCTTGAGATTATGGATTAAGTAAAAACAAAACAGCTAAGGAAAGTGAGCATCCCTTCTGCAGTGAGTGACACAATTAATTGGCAAAAAGTGCTGCCTGGGTCAACTGTAAGAGCCTGGAGCAGGGGAGAGTTCTGAGTGAGTTATGCAGTGAAACAGCATTCTTCAAGAAAGGCCCACCCTCCATGCAGTGGGCTAGACCACACCTGATGCATATGCAATAGGCTTCTTCAACCCAGTTCTTGCTGCCTGAACTCATCACAGGCCACACACTGGCGGTTACAGGGGGAGCTCAGTAAAGACTCCATCAGAAGGACAAGGCAGAACATCCCTGCCCACTCCTGGTAAATCCAGAGTGTCACCTCCAGGACTGGCTGAGCAGGGGTCACACCTGCTCATACACACCCCTAGTCACATTTCCAGCCCTTCCCTATACACGTCTGCTTTGTACTCTTTTGAGGACCCCAAACATCGCAAATGCTAGCTGGATAAAAATAAAAGCTATTTAAAAAGAAACAAGATATGTTTTCTAGCTCCTTCCCACAGTACTTTAATAAAAACAAAATTGATATGCCTCAAGACCTGCTTCCACCCCACTTCTGTAAATGTGAGCATGCACCAAGGATGCACCGGCACCCCCCTCACCTGTACTCGGCGACTCCCCCTGCGTGCTTCTCCATCGCCGTCTCTGAGCTCATCCCATAGAAGAGTTTGAGCTTCTGCCCGTTCCTCTCGATCACTTCTCCAGCACACTCCGTGTGGCCCGCAAACATCCCTCCCAGCATAACAAAGTCAGCTCCGGCTCCTGAACTCCAATAGCGGGGACAAAAGGGGAGAGCAGAGAAAAGAGCTCTAGAAAGATCCAAGTGCTGCCCTCACTGATCTTCCCTCCTCCCAGCAAGTGTCCAGCACAAAACTCAACCTCTCCCTTATTTGAAGAAAGTTAATAAGGCTCCCCACCCAGGGAGGCAGAGCTGGGCACGCAGAACAGCACGTGCAGTCTGCTGAAGGTCAGCTAATGCCCTGCACAATCCTTAATAACTGTTAACAACAACTATGACCACCTTCCAAACAGAGGTCTAACTCTTTAATAATCAGAATCATTAAGAAGTGGGTAGCATCTCAGACAGCATGTCCAGTCTCATAAATAACTCCTCTACAATGTCTCCATTGGGCATCTGGTCTACCTTAAGCTTTCAGATTGTGTAGAGGATGAAAGGACCTCAGAACAAACAGAACCTCCTACACTAGAGATTGGGCATAAGGTGAGAAAGCTATGTACTGTACTGTGTGTGCATATATATATGTGTGTGTGTGTGTGTACTTGTGTGTATGTGTTTGTATAAGTATATATACACATAGTGAAATCCAACCTGCACGTCTTATTGTGAGGACTATAAGACTTCTAAGGTAAATAATATCACATATTAATCACCAAATGACATGAAATTCCCAAGACAGGTACAGAGGAGATGGGGGTATTGGAGCTGCCTTTGTAGGCTGTGCTGGAACACAACCAGGGCTGTCCCCAGGCTCTATCACATGCATGGCACCCAGTAGATGTGGAATAACCAGTTGTCAAGAAAGTAAGAGGAAGAAATAGGAGTATAATCACAGTTCCCCATCCTGCTCGTGGATAGCTGTGCAGAGAGATTCTCCACTCACTTAAAGAAGAAACTGCTAGAACTTCTCCTGAGTAAGTCCCATGGAAGGTTTACATTGAGAATACGAGAACATCAGGATACAGATGTACTAAGTAATTAGGATGAAGGACAAGGAGAAGCAAACATAGGAGCCCTTGAGAAGTGGCCTTGACCTCTCCCATCTGGTCATTCTAATATTTACAAGACTTCGGGGTTGCCTCAAGCCTTTCAGTCCCTTCTGCTCGGCATTACAGCCACACAGGCCCTGCAGGGCTGGCGCCTCGGTCTGGTACTCTGGCAAGCAAGGCACAACAGGACCTTTCTAGTTGGCAGCAAGCTTTGTAGACCCCTCCTTCCAGGGTCCCCAGGAATACTGGATCCTTGGCCATCCTGCCATGATTTTAACAGAGCAGAGGATAACCAGGGCCCAGCCAGGCCTCCTGATGGCCGCGGCTCTGAGAGCACAGCACCTGTGAGCTAGCTGGTGTGGAGCAGATGCAAACAGCAGGGCCCAGAGCACAGGTCCACTCAGACCATGCTTGGAAGGGCCTTCCAGTTATTTGTATTTCTGAATACTCTCCTGTGCTTTCTTAGCCAGGATTTCCCCTGATACAGTCCCCAGGAATGCTGTACCCACAGAAGGAGAGTGACGGGAAAGAAGCCAGAGGCCAAGATCAGGACCCACACCCAGATCTGCTCTCTACATGGCACCTTCTTAATGACCAGTCCCTTTAAAGAGTACTCAGCTCCCACTCTGTGAGCTATTAGAAGGGACCCCAGGAGGGAACACCAGGTATGAAGTCAATTCAGCTCCAAAAACAATAGTAAAAATGTCCTTGGCTGCTGATCCTTATCGTAAGGGGCAAGCAAACACACACGTGGAGCAAGAGTCCTGAGTTCTCCCTGCTATGCCCCTGCCTGTAGGGCCCTGGCCTTGTCACTTGCCTCCCAGGGCCAAAGTCTCAACAACTGTAACATAGGCAGGCTGGATTAGACTGATGACTTATATGTTCCCTTCCATAGCCAGGAGGTATGATAAGAACGGGATTAAGAAGGCTGCCCATTCGTATGACATTCTCCAAGGCTGCTACAACACCCTGCTGCTAAAAATACTGTCCCTTGTTTCCTTATCAGTATCAGTGCTTCATTTAAACAAAAAACATCAAGACCCAATGCCTAAACCTAAGCTACTCTATGGGATGAGCTCCGAAACAGTGGTGAAGAAATACAGGAGGCAGGACCCAGCCTCCACGACCCCACCCTCCTTTCCTTAGGCCAGGCCCAACTGATTTTCTTTTTTTTTTTTTTGATGGAAGGAACCTTCTGGCTGAGGCATTCCTATGGGGCCTCCTGGGCCATGCTGAGCTCCCATTTTACAGTTTGGAGCCCCATGGTGCGGCCAGCTCTGACTTCTGAACGCACTTTGTGAAGGTTAAGTGCTGGGCACAGCACGCTGAGATGCCAGGCTTCCTCCTGATATCCCAAGAAAAACCCAGGACACCAGCTGGGACCCCCGCCATGCCAGCCCCACTGGCCCACAGCTGGACACTTCTGTCCCCTGTGGGGAATGGGCTCCTCACCTCAGGTGAGAAGCGGCTGCTGCGACTCAGTCCCACAGGCATTTCCCCAAGCCAGGTCCCAAAGCCCTCCCTGAGGGTGGGCCCATCACACAGGGACTGTCCTCCTCCACGGGTGCCCTGAGCCCTCTTGTCTGTGCCTTCTGAGCCAGGACTTCCCACCTTGCCTGCAGGATGTCGCCCCCACCCACCCCTCCCGCCCCAGTCTATCCCTGGGCACTCAGCCTGCTCTGCTGTTCACCAGCGTGCACCGATGCCAGGCCTTGGGCCAACTGGGGATGGAATCCAGGGAGAGGAAGCTCCGCCCTGGCCCAGAAGGGGCACGTCCCACCTCCTCCCTCCGTTCCCCACCCTGCCCCAGCACACAGCTGTGCTCCCTCCCTCCCAGCCCTCTGCGGCCCCTTACCAAAGGCTTTGGCGACATCTCCTGGACAAGTGCAGCCTCCATCCTTCGAAGAGGAAAAAGCAAGAAGGTGTCAGCAGGAGCTCAGCCAGGCTTTCCCTTCCCTGGGGGCAACTGGGTGGAGGACAGGTGGTGTCCCTCTGGCACCCACAGCCAAGGGCACCGGCACTCGAAGCCAGAGCCCGACACTCCCCAGTCACTGTCTGCCGACTGGTTTCCACCCCTCCATACTGTAGCCCCTTCTCCCCAAGCCCTGTCACGCTTCCTCCGAGAGGAGGCTGGCACTGCCCATGGCCCACAGTCGCCCACCCATCCACCTGCCCTGCCCAGGAAGTGGGAGGCAATAGGAGGCACTCAGAGACCTCTTCTTCCACCAGCCCCCTGCACAGCATGCCTGGCCAGGACTGTCCGATTCGTTCCCATTCAGCAGTCACCTTTCCCTCCCTGCCAGGCATGAAGAGAGGTTTATTTAGTACAAAAGCTGAATTATTTTAAGAGCCAAGGAAAGGACACCAAGTTAGTTCTTTGTATTTCCAACCATTCTGTGTGTCTCCTATTCACCTTCATGTAATATGCCAGTTATCTTAAAATCAAACATGCATTCCTGAGACCCACCCTGATACAAAGCACACCTGCGGCTGGTTTAAGGCCTTGCAGGACAGTCTTACCTGCCTGGCACTGCTCAGCCATGAGGGACATGTTTAAACACAGAGTAGCAAATTTATAGAATGCAGAACCCATTGTGCATCCTTTAAAACACAAAATTACCAGGCTGTACCTGCTTTTCACAATGTGGCCTGTGTGAAGTCCCAGGAGGGAAAGGACGGTGAGAGTGGCCTTGAGTAGCAGCCAACCCGACAGGGAGAGGCAGGGTCCATGCCCAGGGCTCTATAACAGGGCCCAGAGCTCAGAATAGGTCTGGGTGCAGCACCAAGGGCTCAGACAGAAGCACCCATCCCCAGAAGGTGGGACCCACCAGTAAAGGGGTCAGACAAACCTTGAGAGGACACAGAAAACACAGGCTCCCCATGCGACTTTGCATTACAACTGGCAGGAAGGCACGTGCGCCTCTGGAGTGGGCAGCCTGTCATGGACCTGGGTTAAACCACTTCTCTAAGAGGGCCTCCAAATCAGAACAAGGGGTCTGTGTGACTCAGTTCTGTTTCCGTTTGCTTTGTAGGCCTGTCCCTCTGGGGGCCAGAACTCAACTACTGCTTCATTGCTTCTTTGCAGTTCTGATCAAAAAGTAAGTGGTGGGTGCTCAATTTTTTTCTTGTATGAATATTTACTGACCACAGGTATTTCCTCCATCAAGTGTGCTATTCATATGCAGCTCCCCTGGCCCCCAGGGGGCCACAGGGTACTAAGGAATGCTGCTATCAGAAGTGGTCTGTCAGTATCAATTATCCGGCCAGAGCCCCGCCCAAGAAGACAGTAACAGGACGCGTGGTCTGTGTATCCTCATGCTTCAAAGCTCCAGCATATTCACTTTGTCTTTCAAAGGCACAACCCCTACATGCCCTTCACTTGTCCTGCCAATTTTTTTAAGTGCCTTATCTCTTCATCAAAATCAGTTTTATACAATAGAGTTTCAGCCTTACAACCTCAAAAGATTAAATAAACTCATGTTCCCATTAAAACAGGTCCCTAACAAAACACACACACACACACATACTCCTTCAGTCTTCGACTCACTTACTTGAAAGGGAGTATCTGTGACTGCTAGGGTGTCTTGGGTGGGATCCTGTTAACATTCTGTGGTCAGCAAGGAGGCCTGACTCAGAAGGCCTGCATTACTGGGACCCCAAGAAAATGAGCTCTTCTTCTCTTCCCAGTGTGGGCTAAGATGGCCACAGTTAATAGAACTTCGTGATGTGCCATAGAGAGGAAGCTGTACTCAAGTCATCTGCCCACCAGACAAGCCAGGCTACACACTTAACCCAGTGAGATTCAGCATCACGCTCCAGGGCAAAGGAGTCTGCCCCCTACTACCATTTACAGGGAACTTCCAGAAGTTGTTCAAAGCATGATTTCATGTTCTCAGGAGACAGAGCAGCTGGGGCAAACTTCCACAATCTAAAAACATTCATAGCTGCTGCAAGGTTTTAAAAAAAATAGTGTGCTTATATTCAAAAGGCTACTACTTTTGTTTTCCAAGAGTGTTAACATAGTATTTTAGTAGAAAAAGCAGCACATGACATGAGTAGTAAGTCGAGCTGTGAATTGTCAGCCTACCTCTTCCTAAAAATATGTGCTCACCCCTAACTGGGGTTGGGGGGTGTGAAAGCAAACATAGAGCAGGCAGAGAGGATGCCAATCAAGCACCTCTGAGCCGGGGGTTGTTACAACCTTCCTTTTCCTATTCAAACACCACAGTAACCTGAAAGTGGGATTGTGTCAGTGGGTAAAAAATGAGGGAAGCTCAGAATGGTTGAGTGATTTGCCCAAGGTCACACAGCTCTACACAGCTTGTGTTATAGAACAAGATGGGAACCCTGGTTAAGAGTACACTCTAAAAAAGTCTAGAAGCATACATATAAAATCATTACCAGTGTCCCATTAAGATGATGGTAGCTCTAGCAATCTTTACATTTATTTGAATTTTGTCTTTTTCTAACTAAACCTATTTTGTTGGAGAATTTTTCAAGCTTCAAAAAAAAATTAAACTATGTGAATGAATTTGTTTGGGTCTTTCTAATAATGATCTAACTGTATGTAAGGTGCCACATTAAATCAATAAAATTATAGGGGATTTGCTGATCAACCTTTACTTCTTTGCAGAATCAATGAGAAGACAGGTGCAGTAGGGACCAGGTGGAGGAAAGAGAGGATGGGAATTACTTTAAGTCGGCTTGATGAGAGTAGTAATGAGGCTTATTGTGTAGGGCCACCTCAAACATGAGAAGCTGGCTCTCTAGGTCTTCATAAAATGCACTAATGAAAATGTCACTTGAGTAAAGAAGAGACAACAGTGATCCCAATCAACCTAATCATAGGACTTTCTTTGAGGTCCTAGGAAGCCATTTCATCAGTGGACAGTGGATAGTACTCAAATCCCTCTCCCTCTAATGGGTCAGTGGATACTGACTCTTCCCAATCCATTGGAAGACACATGTGGGCACCCGGTGGGAAAAGACCAGCTATAAGAACACATTAAGCTTGAGTTTCCCAAAGCAATGGGGTGGGAAAATGAGTACACCTGAGATCCAGTATGAACCCTGAAAACCGTTTGGCTTCAGCAAGCCCTTCAACCTCTGAGTCTCCTCATTTCCTAAGTGAGGGCACTGAAGGGAAGGAGGGAAACATTAGAGATGAACACAGCTCAACTTGAGTGGTGGCTCCACTCTACCAGCAGAGCAATGCTGGACAAGTTACTTAAGGTCTCAAAGCTTGTTTGCAATGGTTAATTTATGTGTTAGCTTGACTGGGTCACAGAGGACCTAGCTATTTGGTCAAACATTATTCTGGGTGTTTCTGTGAGGGTGTTAACATGTGAATTGGTAGAGTAAAGCAGATTGCCCTCCTTAATGTGGGTGGGCCCCATCTAATCACTTGAAGGCCTGAATAGAAGAAAAAACTGTTGTTGGAACAAAAAGCTCTCTCACCTTCCTGAGAGAATTCTTCCAGACTGACTGCCTTGAACTGGGATATGGGAATTTCCCTGCCTCCTGATTCCAACTGAAACATCAGCTCTTTGGGGTTTTCAGGCCTTCGGGCTCACACTGGAACTCCACCATCACATCTTGTAGACATCTAGGTTGCTAACTCACCCTGCAGATCTTGGGATTTGTCACCCCCTATAATCATGTGACCCAGTTCCTTATAATGAGTCCCAATCTCTCTCTACACACACATACATATGCTCTCTATCAGTTCTATTCCTCCCGAGAATGCTGACTAATACACCTGTCAAAGGAAGATAACAGCTCCTTTGTCACGTTGTTCCAATAATTAAGAGATAATATGTGTATTGAGCCCAGAAGGTAATAGATGCACAATAAATGACTGCCATTTCTTCCTCTAAAGATGTTTTCACCTTTTAAAATTTCTCCTTTGTGTGATCTCCCTAGCAGATGACAAGAGAAAATTAAGTAGTCACACCTTAATCTTCACCTGCACAGGGGGTGTTGTGAATTTTTCAGCTCCCTCCCTCTCAGAAGTCCACGTGGGCCACAATAAATAGAAATTTGATTCAAGTCCAGCCTCTTGGGTATAAGTTCCTGCTGAACATACCCCATGCTGTCTGTGGCTCCCTATTTCTGAACTTCAATGGCCTGGATGTGCTAACTCAGAATCTAAAGTGTAAAAGGAGACCAGTGGAAGGAAATTGGACAAAGTAGCAGTATCAAAAACACCAGTGGGTCTCCAGGGGGCTTAGGACTACTGGCAATGGGAGAGCCCGGCTCATGAGGCTGCACCGGACACAAGGGAAGGGTGCAAAACGGCCGCTGTGACACCCCAGTGCTCAGCTCATGTCAAGTGCAGATCCTACGTAAGCCCGCGACCTTTGTCTGGTCTTCCAGCTACAAATTCAACTTCTAACCCCATCTAGGAAATCTCTCCCAGTTAATGGAAAAATAAGAACCCTGGAGAACCAGTGCCACCAGCCTGGGCTGTCACTGTCCTGAACAGACAAAATCAGAGTTGCTCCCTGGGTGTTAGCAGCTGAGACCTGGCTCCGGAACACTGCCCAGGCTGTGTGTCCTGAGCCTCCACTATAGAAGCCTGTGGTTTTGAACTTGGGAACCCATCAGAATTAGCTGGAGGGCCTGTCAGAACAGATTCCTGGGCCTCGCCTGCAGAGCTCCTGATTCAGTAGGTATGGGATGGGGCCTGAAAATTTCTAACAAGTTCTCAGTTATACTTCTGCTGCTGCTCAGGGCACCGTATTTAGGAAACTGTTGAGATAAACTATAAGATAGGCGGTGCTGAGTGAAGAGGTCCCATGCTGATTTTCAATCATTTGCTGGTGGTGCAAGCAGATTCTCCACCGAATGGTCCTGTAAACTAAACCAGTGTGAAATTTCCTGAAGGACACAAGCACAG